TGCCACACCATTCCTCTTCAAATTGTCATTCCAGCATAGTAGATCATATGGTTGTCTGATTCAAAACGGCCAAAACCGGTCCATTTCAGCTCACTAATGCCTTGGTTGTCAATCTTTATGCATTCTGTTTCATTTTTGACCACCTCCATTTTTCCAGAATTCATACTTCGTACATTCCATGTTCTGATTATTAATGGATGTTTGCAGCTGTTTCTTCTCAATTTGAGTCATGCCACATCAGAAAATGGAGGTCCTAAAACCTTTACTTTATCCATATCATTAAGGTTGTTTCTACTCTGATGAGGCAGCTCTTTCCCAATCATATTTTGAATGCCTTCCAACCGAAGGGGCTGGTCTTCTTGCACTGTATTGGACAGTGTTTCCAGGCTATCCATAAAGGTGCCCAGTAATGCATCAGACAGTGTTTCTCTGCTATTCATAAGGTTTTCCCTGGCCAATTATTTGAGAAGTAGATGGCCTCTTCTTCCTAGTCTGTCTCAGTCTGTAAACTGCGTTGAAACCTGTGCACCATGTGCAACTCTGCTGGCATTAGAAACACCAGTGGCACAGCCTCAAGCCTCACAGCAACATTCAAACCACCACCATGCAACAAACTGACAGGCGTGTTTGTCTTCCTTAGCTGTTCTAAATCTCTCTGCCATCCCCTTACCTAGATTCCACTGCTCTGGCATCCCCAACCTTTCTTCCACTTCCTGCCTCTTGGGGTGGTGCCATTCTCCCTCTCCTTACCTGGATCCCATGGCTCTGTCCTCCCTGGCTTTTCCCCCTGCTTCCTGCCTCTTGGGTTGGGGCCTGTCTCCCTTATCCCTTACCTGTATCCCGTGGCTGTGTTGTCCCTCTTAGTGGCAGTTAACATAATTGAAAATGACTTAACAAGTGTCCTAAAAGGAAACAAGAAATATACAAAACTTACCAGGTGTGTCTATTTAGGCTACTATTACACGTAACAGCCAAAGGTTTAGTTGTTTTCTCTTACTTCTCTGGTTTGATGATATGAGAAGAAATGGAGGAAAGGTGTGAGTACCAGAATTCAGAGGTCTGATTTACTCAAAGTACTCCAGATACCTTTTCTGGCTCTTTCAATTTTGACATTTTTCATATGGCCATGCTGTCATCAGAAGAAAGAAAAAGTTTTATCTGATGTCCTCCTATATTTAGTTTTTCACTGTTAACTTGTAATCTTTAATTGAAATTTTTGTATGCCTGTTTTGAGGAATAACACTCAGAAATCTCCTAAATATTTTTGATTCTAAAATACAATCTTTAAATAAATTTACTTTCTAGGTGTAACCAAGTTGAAATTATTTATTTTAGTTTCTTTAGTTAGTTGACTGTCAAAAAGTATAGGTCTCCTAGATAGCTGTGATTCAGGTAAGCAGCTGAAGAGAACGTATGGTGAGAATAGAAGCCCTGTCTATTTATTTAGTGTGAAATCATTGTTTGAATATGAAATATATGTGTGGGCTTATTAAGCTACATATAACCCGTTTTGATAGATGGCACTCTGTATAAATATAATGATACATACATATAAGATAGTTATAGTGAGCTGTTACATACTTGTGTGTGTGTGTATGCGTGTGTTTAGTCCAATGTCATTTTATTCAGCAAAGCAGAATATTAACCATGATTTTGACCCTCTTGTTTTAGAGGTCTTGTGTCAAAGCTCAGAATCTTTGAAATTGGTAAACATTTAAAATAATGTGATAAGAAATATATTTAAGATATATATTTGGTTGTGGGCAAAAGAATCAGAGTATAAGCTAGTTTAAAATATTACTGATGTGTTATTAGACCTGTGGATTGAAATTATTTGACTGTTTTATAATCCCTCTGCTGGCTCTAAAACTGCCAATTCAGTCAAGTTCTGACTCCTAAAATATCTTTAAGCATAGAGAAAAGTAATAGAACTTTTATTTTTTAAGTTTAGAACATTAGGAGTGTCAAGATCTTGAGTGACTTTTTTCAGAACAGGTTTCTACTTGCACAATGAAACTCATCTAATACATAAGCCGTGCGTATCTCTTTCTATATATATGCACACACATTTTTTTCCATAGTTCCCAGCCTGCCCTATCTTCATTTTTGAAACATTCAAATTAGTTATTTGTACTTAGAGGTAAATTACTCTTTAGCAATGTATATCCTGTTACTGAATTATACACATTTGAATTTCACTAAATTTGTTTTTGACCATAGAAGCAGAAGAATGAACATGCACAGAGTAGTTATGATTCTACTGCCTAAGTAATTCTTTTCCTTAATTACCATTGCACATATCCTTCTAAAAGCTTAAGGTTAGATGTTTATCTTGCAAACATTTGAGCAGCTTTCAGAATATGTTGTCATGGATTAAGTTATACCTTTTAAGAAAAAGGAATAATATTAATATTAATTGCCTCTGTGCATGGAGCTTTTGATATGTCTCATATGGTCTTTACAATGATAACAATGGAAAGATAAATTGTATTAACATTTTTCAAGCATGGAGGCTCCACCGTTAAATCTTTTCATATTTTCCTTTCACATAGCAGAAGTGACCAAATGATATTCTTTGCCAAGTGCATCAGAGGCCAGGGCCTGGCCCTTTCCACTCTGCTGCCTTTTAGTTATACTTTCCTTTTCAAAACATGTACAAGCATCTTGTTTTCACACCCTTGGGATTTGGCTAGAGTTTAGTCTAAAGAAATTATAAAATGTATTGTTTAGCAATATGAATTTAAATAAAATACATCTTCCTTTTGAATTTAGTTCACTTTCCTAAATAGTAATTTTGATTATGACTGCCTAATACTCTGATGACTGTTGTGGGACACTCAGGATTATGATGAAGTAAGGTCTACGATAGGTGGGAGAATAAAATGTTGTGAAAGCATCTTGCAAATGACTAAGGAATTTCCTGTTTAGGAATCTCTTCTTTCAGACTGAATTCCTGTCATCTAGTGTAATGTGATCTTGGGTGCTCAGTAATTATAGGAAGGGAGAGAAACATTTATTCAGCCACTGACGCTTGAAAGCTTTTAGGGTTTTCTTAAGAACTTTAAATATTTCTTCTACACTTACCTATTAAAAAGAAACCAAAGAATATGAAGGAGGGCTTTAGGGGATCAGTAGACAGAAATTAGTTTGTCAAAAGAAGAGGTTATTTCTCTATTAAACTGCATGTTTTTCTGCCAGAAAACAAAAGACCACTTTGTCTACTCTGGTGTTGAGCAATTCAGAAATAAAGTACAGTGGAAGAAACTAGAATAGGCAATATTTAGATTGTGCTTTAAATAACAGGGCTTGTATTTTGATAAAGTATAACCTAAATGCTACTTTTTGGAAAACTATATGACAGTCAAAGAAAAAGGGGGGTACATCAGATTCCTATTTAGTAACTGGATTACAATGTGCCCATTCAATTTTGTTTTAAGAAAAAATAGCACTTACTTATTGAAGATGAAAAGAGAGTTAAAAATAGAAGTAAAATAGAGGTGTGTTTCCTTAATCGGCACCTTGTTTCCAAATTCCATGTCTGACTTTTTTTTCACCGTTCTCCAGTTTGGATAAAATATGCAGAAATCATAGTTTTGTACTCAATAGACTGAAAAGTTGCCTTGTAAGATAAGGATTTTAAGGATTTTCTTTTGTATAGAATAAAACCTACTGCCATTGAGTCAATTGTGACTCATTGTGACCCTATAGGATAGAGGAGAACTGCCCGCATAGAGTTTCCAAGGCTGTAGATCTTTATGGAAGCAGTCTATCTCATTTTTCTCCCATGGAGCAGCTGGTGGGTTTGAACCCACCTTTTGGTTAGTAGTCAAATGCTTTAACCACTGTGCTACTAGAGCTCCTTTATAGAATAAAGTCCCTCTGTAGTTTGTAAGATTGATGTCCTCTAGTAGCTATAAAAAACACAATGCAACCACTGCTGTGGATTCAGATCCGACTCATAGCGACCCCTCCTTGGGTTTCCGAGGCAGTATCACTGTGGAAGTAGATTGTCCCATCTTCCTTCTGAGGAGTGGCTGGTGGGTTTGAACCACCAGCCTTCTGGTTAGCAGTCAAATGCCTTAGACACTATGCCACCAGAGCTCCCCTAGTAGCTGTAGCATATATAATTTTTCACTCAGTTACATTCAGTGCTAACCTTCCTGAATGATTTGAATAAAGAAGCATTTCCTTAGATACCAGGTTTATGTCATTATATGAATGTATGAATGGAAAGAATGTATTTGGATAAAACTAATATAAATCTGACACAAATTTCAAATAACTAGTCTGCTACTTTCTTTCTAAGACTTTTATTTGAGGGAGTAAAGTAGATGGTATATTTTTAATTCCAACTATAATACTGTCTGTTTTGTTCTGTTATACATGAGGTGACTATGAGTTGCAACCAACTTAATGGCACCTAACAACAAACAACAAAGTGTAAACAGGAAGCATAATATTAAATAATGATTTTATAAAAATTTCTTTAGAGAAAGCTGCCATCTTTTCAACAGCATTCTTTAAAGAAACAACAACAAAGCTCCAAAATGTCTCTCAAGTATGAGCTGTCCTGAGAATTAGATTCTTAGAAAAGTACAGCTTAGTAATTTGAAAGTCATTTGATGAGTATGTTCATTTTATCTTGATGTTCATCAGGAAAACTTAATCAACTTCTTGTTTTGTTTAAGGACATGCCTGGCATTCTAGCTTAAAATCATTTTTCTGTTTCAAATCAATTGAATGAGCCATTCTTTTTTTTTTTACTTTTAAGATCTATGATTCAATTGATGGGATTAATATTTTAAAATAGGTCTTCTAGTTGGTAATTTAACACCATATTAAAGTGTCTGAAAGAGTTGGAGTTGGAAACAGGCCTAGACTTCATTCCCATTTCTAATACTTACTGGCTGTAGGTCCTTGGTCGTTAGTTTTGGTTTATAATCTTTAGTCAATTTCAAGAGATAAACCATCTCACCAGAGTTTTTTATTTGCTTTTATAGATCAGTGTACTGTTACCCGGACATACCTATTTCTTCACAAGTTCTGGTTCTTTAGTGCTGCATACTATTTTGGTAACTGGGCCTTTCTTGGGGTAAGTACAGGTATTTCAGGGATGATTTGATATTCCTTTAATCAAAATTTTATAAACTTTTAATTGTATATGTTATCATAGTTCATTTTGTGTCACTGGAGTAGTGCCATTGGACTTTAAATTCATTGCTTCTAAATGATTTCAGATTTGTCAAGTAACACATAACTTATTTAAATTTACAGGTCTTCTTGATTGGATTCATTGTATCTTGTTGTAAAGGGAAGAAATCAGTCATTGAAGGAGTAGATGAAGATGATTCAGACATAAGTGATGATGAGCCTTCTGTCTATTCTGTGTGACAACCTTTTGTCTTAAGCTGACTAAATACCTATTATACATTTTTAAAGTGTTAAACTAACCATAAGATGAGCTAATTGGCTTTCATCAAAAATGGGAACATGACAGTTAAAAGAACTATATTTTTTATGTTTTCTGAAATAACAATATTATATCATAGATTCACATTTAAAATTACTAAAATACTATGTAAATATAAAACTACTGGCTTTGTGAAGAATGTTTGTGGAAAATATTTTCCTCTAGTGTATAATAGTGTCAAATTGATTAAAAATATTCCAGAATTTATATTTCCTTTTGTTTCTTTTTAAAGATACAATAAATCACTTGTGTTTGTGCCTTTGGATGTCTAGAAAAATGTAGAATTTAAAAGTATTTATATCTGATTGCCTAATAGGTAATATTCACAATATAGCTGATAAATATTACTCACCTAGGTGATATATGTTCAGTTTTTTTTACATAAAATCATTAGTGTCACTCATAGATTTCATAGAGATTTTAATTTTAATCTTAGTTCTTGAAAACCATATCATCCTAAGATAATGTGTTCTTGTGTTCAGATATTAATTCAATACTAACTTTTCCACCTCTACAGTATTTAAAGACATATACACTGTTTAAATATTTAAGACATGTGTGCTGCAAAGGACCTCTTCAAAACATTAAAGAGCAAAGATGCCACTTTGAAGACTAAGATGCATCTGACCCAAGGCATGATCTTTTAAGTAGCCTTATATTCATGTTAGATCTAGACAATGAATAAAGAACACTATACAATAATTAATGCATTTGGGTTGTGCAATATTGAAGAATATTGAATGTGCCATGTACTGCTAGAAGAACAAACAAATCTGCCTTGGAGGAAGTGCTGTGAAATGCTCCTTAAAAGTGAGAATGGGCAGCCTTCATGTCTTGTACTTTGTTCACATTGTCAGAAGGGACCAGTCCCTGGAGAAGGATATCATACTTGGTAAAGTAGCGGGACAGCAAAAAATGAGATGGATTGAGACAGTGGCTGCAATGATGGGCTCAAGCATGGCAATGATTTTGCGGATGACACAGGACAGGTCACTGTTTCATGAGTCACTGTGAGTCAGAAATTATTTAATGGCACCTAACAAAAGTATGTTTTAGAGAGCTTTTGCTTTATAGCTGTTTATTCTGGTATTCCAGCATATAGGTAGTATCATCAAGAATAATTGATTGTGAAATATAATCAATTTACTGATCTATTTCAGATACATGACATCCAATTTTGGCATTTGAGGGTTTTTATTCTAAAGATTTTAAAATTTGCAAAAAGTATTGTGAAAGTTATCTAATATCAATAGAATGTTTTGAACACATTCTGGATAGTGGGAAATCATCACACATAAAATTCTAGTTTACTAACATGAGCAAATTACAACTAATAAAACATGCATCATGGTTCTGTAAATAAAATACCATGAAGTTTCTGAAAAAGGCTTAAGCATTACCAATATCTCCAACTTAATTCTTCTCTCCCTTAATGTGTGTACCATTTTACTGTTTTAATTCTTTGCCTATCTTTCTAGACATACCTTCACACCTTCATATTTGGCTTCTGCCACCTGAACGTTTTTCACCCTTTAATATTATTCACCATGATTCCATTCCCTTCTGTTCTCATTTTACATATTCTTTCTAGGCAATCTCATATACCCTTGGCTTCCATCTGTATTGCTCTTTATGAGCTCCAAAGTTTGACTTAACTGTTACTTAGAAATTGCTACTTCAGATGCAATATGCTGAAAACTCAACTCCTTGTTTATCTGGGCATACTAAGTTTCTTTCTTTTTTTTTCTTTAGGCAAATAGCACAGCACATATCTGACTGCCTAAGCTAAAAATTAAGCAGACCTCCTTGTGTTCTTACTTGACTCACCCAGCCAATCCACAAGTCATGCTGGTTTCTACTCCCTAAATACCCTTCGCTTATTTTCCCTTTCTCCGTTCTTACTGCCACACACTGGTTCTTGAACTTCTTCAGTGGAAGTTCTGATTCCTTTCAATCTTTCCTCAACATTTAGAATATAAATCTGATCATTTCATTACTTTGCTGTGAAAATCATTCATTTTAGAATGAAATCTCCATGCCCTCACATGATATTTAAGGACTTTTTAGTGTTTTCCTTATGTGCCAAATGACAAAATACTCACCGTTATCCTAGTAGCTATGATTAATAACATCTTCACTCTGTCCTTGTGACAGTGAGACCCTTACCCTCTGGTTGTCTCCTAAGAAAACCTTTATACTTCACTTCTCAGCCTCAGCATTATCTACTCCATATTTGTCCCGGTTTCCCAGTGCTGCTGTAACAGAAATACCACCAGTGGGTGGTTTAAAAAATAAAACATTTATTTTCTCACAGGTTAGTAAGCTAGAAGTCTGAATTCAGGGCACCAGCTCTAGGAGAAGCACTTTGTCTCTAGGGAAAGTCTCTTTTAGTTTCTGTAGATGCAGCCTTGCTTGATTTCTTGGTGATTTTCACGTGGCATTTATCTGCACCTCCATTTGTGCTTGTTTTGCTGTGCCTGTTCTGCGCTTTTTCTCTCTCTAAAGTGATCTACTTGCATGGTGATACCACCTCAGAAGCCCAAGGAGGGGTTGCTATGAGTCAGATCTGAATCAACAGCAGTGAGTTTGGAGCTTGGTAGGTTGAAAACATGTACCACATGGATATGGTCTCACTAGCATAACAAAGAAAATCCTTTCCCCAAATGGGAATACATCCACTGATACAGAGGTTAGAATCCAACACATTATTTTGGAGGTCTACAATTCAGTCTATAACAGTGCTGCTTTCCCTAACTCCATCAGGCAAAGTTCTGTGTTGGCTCTTCCCGACTCACATGGTACCTAGTACAGTGTGTTGTGATTTATTGTTTTCATGTCTTTCAGCTCTGATTTGTAAGTCCTTAAACAAAGCTGACTTTTCAGCTTTGTTCCCAGTTCCTAGCATAGTGCCTTGCACGTGGAAGGCACTCAGTTGACAGATAATATAGTTAGAAGCTAAATGGTATAAGCCCATATAAACTGCACTTGAACTTACACTGAAGTATATTTAGCCTATTTTTGATATTTATTTTGCTACTTAGAAGTTTAGAAAGGAACTCTGGTAGTGTGATTAAGGCATTTGGCTGACAACCAAAAGGTCAGTGGTTCAAACCCACCAGCCACTCTGTAAAGGAAAGATGAGGCAGTCTGCTTCTGTAAAGATTCGCAGCCTTGGAAACCAAATGAGGTTGTTATGAGCCTGAATCAACTCAATGTCC